CCGGTCTGGCAACAATGCGCCTAAGCCTGAGGTCCTCCTCCTCCATCTTCCCCCACAGGGGAAAGGCCTGCCTCATCCAGCCTGATTGTCCTGCGCTGCCACAAGGCGTAAAACTTTGGGGACAGAGAGAATTTGACAATGCTTTCAATAAAAGCACTAGCAATTATCCCCGTATCTGATCCCATCTTATTAAGAGTTACAATTATTTACCAAATTTTTAAGACATACTTTGATCAATTTTGTACTATTGATAATTATACAAATAATTTACTTCAGAATAACTTTTAAACACAGAACATTGTGGACACAGAAAATTTTTAAAGATCAATTCTAATTTAGGTACATATTTTTATTGCAAAGAAGTATGCTAGAGTTATCGAAAGACTTGAAAATAGAACTATCTGTATTGTTACCCATTAGAATAAATGTTGGGGGTGGGGGAAAGAAATGTAAATATGATTTCAAGGAGAAAAAGGAATGCTAAAATTTAAACATTAAGGAAGAATTTGTTCTTTAGAAAATGGTTGTGAATATCAAATCATTTATATTCCACCTGATTCATTTAAATATATTTAATGCAAGTTTGTACTTTAAAATGTTAATATTTACAATGTCGAAAGTACATCTTTTATACTATTTTAACTAGATGAAAAACTTTAGATGTCTAATAATGTTAGAGATTTTTTCCCCCACAAATCTTTTATGTGCTATACAAACAAAAATGTTTGAAGATTTTACTCCTAGAGAAGCACAAACATATATACCAGGCTACCTGTGCAAGAATATTTACAGTAACTGTCCATCAGAATGGGTAAATAATTTATGCAGACTATGGACTGCCATAATTAGAAAACAATGTATTATTACACAACAATGAAAATGAATAAACTACAGCTTCACACGAAAACAAATGAATTTCTCTAATTTAACGCAGAGGTGAAGAACCAAGACACAAAAAATTCCCATGCTAAGGTTCACTTCTGCTCATGACCAAGCAAAGCTGAATTATATTGCTTTGGGATATATGATATTATGTCATCGCCCAAAATTCTGTGCCCAGAGACTAGCACTATTTCCCTAAGAATCTGTATCCTTGCCCTTTTGACTTGGTTTTGCCATGGGACACGCTTGAGCCAATTGAAGAGAAGACAAGATGCCTGTCACATTCAGTCAGAAGCTCCGAGAAGCATCAAGAGTTTGTTGTGCCTGTTCTACTTTTCTTCCGGGTCCCAAAAGAACTTTTCAACTTGGATTCTGGAATGAAGAAACATGTGAAACAAATCCCAAACCAAACCTGAGCCCTCATGGATGCAAGAAATATATGTTTGTTTTTGTAAGTCACTGAAATATTTCTATTGTTCACTATGGCAGCAAAATAGGAAGTAACATAGGTAGAAAAACAAGAAAATAACACAACAATGAAGACAGTGGAAAGGGAAGAGGCTGTGATCCAGAAGAGGTATGGAGATGGAGGCTTAGGGTAGAGGTACTGTTCTGTTGATTAGAGTAGTGGTTACAGAGGTACCTGTTGTATAATTATCAAACTATATACAAATATTTTGTGCACTTTTGTTTCCTTTTCTCTATTAAAAATGTAAAAAAGGCAAAAGACAGAAACTTATAAGGATTGTCCTTTGCCTCATTTCAAATATAAATTATTCCATATCACCATCCTTTTCCCATTATTTAATATTAAGCACTATCACCAAGAGATGAGACCAATTTTTACAGTAAAAAAAAAAAAGTTCATTTATCATTGGAAAATTTTATAATGAAATGTTCTGAAATACTATCTTACATCAGACAAAATATCTGTGTAAATTATTATAACTAAGTTTATTAATCACTCTCATTTTCTTCTCATTAATTCAATGTACTAAGTGTAGAGGTATAGATAAAAATAGATCCCTCCATAATAAAACTGGCAGTCTATACATAAACATGTGTCTTATGTGGCAACAAGAGCTATGGAGAATAATACTGCAAAGGATGAAGAATGACAGGAGTGTGATTTTCAAGTCATCAGAAAGCCCTCTGATGAACTTAGGAGAAAGATAAGGGAATCAGGGAATATCTGAGGAAATAATGTTCCAGGGAGAGAAAAAAGAAGAGGTGCACTGATCCTGCAGCAGGAAGCTGCTTGGCAGGTTTGAGGATGAGACATCTAGTCAATGGGTCAGCTAGTCAGGTGTGTGTTTATGGCAGCTTGTGTCCAGGAAAACAAACACTGCTCGTGTCCTTATATGGGAGCTATAGGATCACAGCAGTTTTGATGGGCCCTCAAGTGTTCAAAATTACCTGCACTGAATAGAGACCAACTCCCAGGTATCTCCTCCCAGCCCAAGTAGCACAGACAACTCTACATACATCAAAGTTGGGCAACAGCTTTGAGCAGCGCTCCCAGAGGAATCTTTTGCATATCTGAGTTGCACTGAGTGACATAAATAGCAGCAGCCAGGAAAAAAATAAAGATATAAACTGGATGTCCCTTCGGTGAAACTTAAAAAACTAAGTTGTGGAGGCACTACTAGAAAGATATTTGTCAGGTAACTAATGCCTGAGTAATGCCCGAGAAGTGCTTCAAAACCCAACTCAAAATCTCATGCTCATCTTCAGAAAATCTTTAATGCTTACATACTAGAAAAAGTGCATTTTAAAAAAAATGTGTAAGATGTTCACAATAGGTTATCTCCTACTGGGTTCCAGCAAGGGGCCGGTCAGGCAAAGCTGATAAGCCTCAGCAAAAAGTGACAGAGGTGACCAGCTATGCAAGATTCTTCTCACCCATCGTTCTGAGGAGTGACTGCCCAACTGGAGATTCTTGTTTCCCAGATGTCCTGGCACCTATGCAGGGCAGTGTAATTTGTTTTCACCCCAGAATATGACTTGGTGATATGTGACACCTGTGGGGCAAGCACTACCCTCCCCACCCAGTCACCGACTCTGGTCAGCCGGCTTGAAATGAAGGCTTGTGAGCCGTGGCATCGCAGTCCTAAAATGTGTGGGAGGCACCTGGATTCTTCAATCACATGTTGGAAAGCTGCCTGAACACCACACTGGTTCCTTACATGAGCAAGAAACTTATTTTCTTGAGCTACTGAAATTTTGATGTTGTCTATTACAGTAGCTAGTGTTACTTTAATAGAGTATTTAATTGGACTCCCAAGAGTTGAGCTGAGAGCAACACTCAGGTAGCAATCAGTCTCTAATATAATGGCATTTGCAAACTTTCAATGACAAGTGAACAGGATTCCAAACTAGAATAACAGTCTGGAAGATGCCCACACAACTTGATGAAGTCTTCTAACAGGATCCAATTAAGTTCAAGATGCCTTTGTAGTGGATTTCTCAGATAATCTCAGAACCCTCCTCCTCCCCATTCACAGCCATTGATTCCTTCCCATCCTCGGTACTCACTAATTTACCACGCAGGTTCCAGCCCTTTCAAGCCGGTGACAAGCCGGGGAGTGGCAATGGCCACAAAAGTGGCAGCCTTCACAAGAAAGGAACAGAGGCCCTTTTGTCCCAAATACCTTCTGCTGGTCAGCACCTTTACTTTTCAACTCCTAGATGCCTATTTTCAACTATACTCAACAGACATACCAGTAGGATATGTATAAATTACTTAATACAAAAAGGAAATGTCCCTTTGTTATTCTCAAGTGGAAAAAAAAGGCCCCAGCTGAGAAGCTACTCCACCCTTTTAAGTCTATCCCAGTAAGGCACACTGAAGTGCTAAGGTTTCTTTCTGCAGGGTAACTCATTAACCAGCAGACCTACTGAACCCAAAATTCTTGCTATAACTTATCTGGAGAGAAGAAAGGGTCAAAGAAGTGTAAATGTTTAAAAACTAAAGTTTTCACAGGATTGCCCAGATTTGAAGAAAACAAAAAAGCAAAAATTTGGCTTTTTGTATTGTCCCACATAAAACACACTTAGGATAAAAAAACAAAAACAAAAAAAACTTACCCTCTAAACTTCTCATTTTCTATTCTTTTGAGGGAATGTTTCTATTGCTTTGAGTTCACTGGCAAATATTCTCTCTTCTGAAAAACTCTTCTCTTCTGAGATAAATAAAAGTAGAATTTCTATCAGTAAGTTCAGTGCAGTCCGACAAGCCAGACATGTGAGAGCAGTAAGCCAAACCAGCTGATGTGCCCAAACGTCTGATAGAGGCTCAGCAAATCACTTTCAAATGGGGTCAAGCTGTATATTCTGACCCATTCCTTCATGAGCTAAACAGCCATCTTGCGATTTTTTTAAATGCCTGAGATTTTTTATACTCAAGTCTATGTTGTGTTTTTTGGTGTTATTTTAAAGTAAATCTTTCTTCCTAACCAGTTACTATCCCTTGGCTCTCTTGTCAAAAGCCTGGGACTGGAAGAATACAGCTCATAGCAAACAGAGCAAGAGCAGCATTTGCCTGAACTGTGCAGGACAATTGGGCTCAAAAGGAAAGAAGAGTCAGATCTAACGTCACCAGGAGCTTAAGAATAAAAATGGTAGCACTTACAAAGGAAGAGAGTGGTAACTGTCCCCATGGTTTAATCACATTAGAAAGACAAGAACGTCATTCATCATCAATATTTATTGGGCGCCTATTAGGTGTGCAAGGCACTATGCTAGGCGCTGGGGAAGATACAAAGACAGATCCAACAAGACTGCCCTCAACGAGCTTACAGTCTAGTATAGGAGCATACAGTCTCTCTCTCTCGAGATTTTAGATGTAATTAACCTCCCCCCACTCACTCCACACACACACACACACACACACACACACACACACACACACACACACGAAAAAAAGGGAGTGAGCCAGAGAGCAAGAAAAGAAAAACAGAAAGAAAAAAGAAAAAAACTTAAGCTTACTAGACTGGGTTTCATCCCTTTTTTAATTCAGCAGCTTCACATAAAAAGCACATATCTGAGAATCTTTTAAAATGCACTTTTACTGGTAAACAAAACTCATTTGTTAGAAAAAAATGCTATTTATTGCAATTAAGAAAATCCTCAAACATATCTTCAATATTTTCATTAACCTTTTTCTTATTAATCTGTTTTTGTGAAGTAAACAGTTTCCCAAATTGCATCAGAACATGCAACAACTTTTTGAAACAGATCTCTTTAAACCACTGGCAGTCACATAAAATATACACAGGCTCTCTGCTAAAAGCAAGGAAAGCTTCTGAAATGGATGTTTATTTGCTACCAGAGTTCACAGTTATGGTTCCCCTCCCTCAAAAAGCCTCTCTCATGTCAATTCAAGAAATTATAAAATACCTCCATTAACCTATACCCCAAAGATCCAAAACTTTAGACTAAGCTTTAGACAGAATAGTGGAAAAAAGTTCATTATAATCTAAAGCCCATCTCTTGGTGCTATTACTAGGCTAGCCAGACCCACCAGAGAACTATAAAATAATTTCAATAAAGGAAATTCAAAATAACCCACTTTTGTATTACACCCCAAGGAATTTCTGAAGTTTTCCGTTATTTTCCTTTCAGCAGAGAAACCAAATGTAGTCAACTGGGGGAATAAAAAACACTGTTACAGCTACTTTAGGTTAAACTGCTAAAGAAAGGAGTTATGTGAGCATTACACGTTAAAATTAACTCCTTTCTAACCATAACTACTTTAGGTAAGTGTCTTGCAATTGATCACCTCTGGGCTCAACATTTCTAATCATACTAAGGATTCTATAGGTCTGAAGCCTTGGGTCTTTGCGGAGACTTTATGAAACTTAAAACACTGATGCTAAGGTAGAAGATACAGTTATCAAACTGAACATTAAGTCCTTTCTCTTTTTTAATGTAGAATCATGGAAAATTAGCATAGCCATGCACACCCAAAAATGAGTTCCTGAGACGGAGGTTTCTTATTCCACGTGGGAGTATTCTTGTCCTGAGCAGTTTTCCTTAGTTAAGTAAGAGCAAAAAACTATTGATTCATTGTGCTAGTTATGCCTAGTAGAAACCTTGTCCTCACCAAACTCCAAAAAAAGTGGGTGGGCTTGTCAAATAAACTGCAACTCAAGTAAATTTCAACATTCATATCCAAACTAACATCCTCTCATCACAGAGGTAAAATGAACTATTAAACCAGTAGCAGGTCCAGCTCAAACTGCAGGCTTATTGTGCATGTCTTCCTTAATGAGAACATACCCAATTTTTAAGCTTTGACATTACCTATTTTAAGTTTCCAAGTCTACTTGTACAAACCACATGAAGAAATTTTCTGGGTGTAAAGCCTAACAGAAAGAGTCAGATCAATATAAATTAAATATTAGTCTTTCAATCATCTTCCTTTTTCATATTACTAAGGTGCTTTTCTGTTCAATCTCTCTGCTGAACAGATACAACAAATTTTATAGACTTGTGTGGTGTAAAAGAACCACTATTTAAATTGACTAGTCCCACTCTAACATTTTACAGATAAAGAAACCGAGACCCTGAAAAGTTTAATGAAAAAGCTGGGAGCCAAACCCAGTCTAGTCTTCATGGCGCTACACCTCTGACCTTTTCCATGAACACATGACCCTATACACAAAGGTATTAAAACTAACGTAATTAAATGGTGATGTATTTTATATGAGATAAATCTAACAAACGTTTGCTACTAATTTAAACTATTGTTAGAAACATTAGCCCTTTCGGTTACTGCTTTTAAGGGTAAATCATTTGTAGTTGCTTCCTTTGAGGATGTTTATTTGCTCTCTCTAGAAAAAGATGTTAAATATGACCATATAGTCAACCATTTACTACCATCTACTTAAATTTCTAAATTATTTTTACATACATTTGAATTCTTATACCTTTAACAAGTAAAACTAATTTATGCAGAGAATGAAGTACAGTATTACCTCTATAAAGGTGTTGGCATCTGAGAATTAGCCACTTCCATACAGGATGGAAAACCTCTTCTAGGAGTGGTAGAAAGGGTGTCCAGGGTAACAAAAAATGTAATGAAAATTATACATGAATTTTGATTAGTCTGTAATTTGAGGTACAGGAGAAAGGATAAGCTTAGAGAATAGAATCGGATCTGAGTTCAAGATTTAACTCCCTTCCTTGCTATATAACCTTCGAGCAATTCACTGAACTTCTAGGTTTTGGTTTCTTCATTTGCAAAGAGTTAACATATGTACTACTTACCTCATTAGATTATTGAAGATAACTTACAGTTAAATACAGGAGAATGCTTATAAATGGAAACACATATCAACAAATATTATTAGCCCAATAATTATTAAAATGCGGACTTACAGAAAATTTTAAATAATTACCACTCAGTGGCAACTAAGCATGCTCACTATAACAAATTTAACTCAGAGGGGAAACCGTGCAAACTTTTCAACTTTCAATGGCAATGATAAAAATTCACAGAAAGATATAATACGAAGGAACATTTTTAGAGAAAGCACTGAAAGACACACATTTGGTTGACTTATGAGACTTTAAAATGAGTTAGAATGATTTACAGCATATAAAGAGGTATTTAGTCTTTAAGTGGAGAAAGTTGCTAGTCACCTGTAAGAAAAACAAGCAGTATGGATAGTCCTAAGACAAATGGAATAAAATTCCATCACGTTTGGCTATTTTGTAAACCATAAACCAGACTTCTCACAAAGAATCATGTTGCCAATAATCAGACATACCCAAAAGATAAAAAGAGAATGTCTACTTCTAAATCACATCCACTGTGACTGGCATGAACGCAAGGCATACAACAGTTTTTCTAACTCCACTGGCACCTAAAATGTTAGATGCCCTTCATGCTCACTTACATTCCATTAAGAACAATGGAAATACAAATCTTTTACAAATCCTTATTATATATTTTTCTTATTCTTATAAAATACTCCACTCTGGTGGCCTTATTTGTTTTGATTGTAAAATTAAGTTTAAGTAGCACATTAACCTTTCCCTTCAAATATGCCTTTTGATGTTAGGTCATATACCAAAAAAAAAAAAAACTCCACAAAGAAATTAACAACCAAAAACAAATGAAGATGCAAATGAGATAAATGAGATATGATTCATTAAGTATAAAAATATGTTGTTTCAAATTCAGAATAATTTAATAACTCTTCGTTATTTCATATGTATCTGGAAATGGAACAGATACATGTCCTGATCCTGTCACAAGAGGTAGAATTCCAGCATTTGGTACAACGTTCCAAGATAGGGTTAAAGTGACATTCCTGTTTCCCCTATAAAAAGATATAATAAACAGATGTCAGCAGAAACATTTGTGGCTCAATAAAAACATTTTAATTAAAGCACTACGGTGTCAAATACTTTTTTAATTGGCTATTCCTAATTGTAATCCTAATCTACAAACATAAGTTTTCTCAAGTCTTTTAAAATAAAAAAATAAATAAAATAAAATTTAAAAAAATGCTGGAAAATGCCAACACTATCTACAATGACCTACCAAACTCACTGATAGCTACTAGAGCTTTCAACCAAAAGCTTAAATGAGTAAAACACAGAGAAAATAAAGAGATTTGAGCTGGAAATCAGAAGACAACAATGTGAACTCTAATTCTATCATTATCTGGATGGACAAACCTTAACAAATCAAAATTTCTCATGGTTGGAAATTATTAATCTGCACAACCAGGGGTTTGGTTAAAAGAGCTCACCCCCAAAACCCTTCCCCCATTGTTTATTCACAGAGCGGAAGAGCTAACTATGACCCGAAAGACCAATTATTCCAGGTTCAGAAAAGTTAAGAGAACCAAAACTAGAAACCCCAGCATCAACTAGGCCAATGCGCTATTTCCTAATGAAGGTTCCCCTGGCAAGTTCCTCCTCCATCTCAAAAGAAGCCCTGTGACCATCACAGTCCTATTCCCACGTATGTGAGCCTTGGACTGGCTGTGTACTTAAGAGTAAAAGCTTTAAGAGTTTGGTTATTATATTTCATATACTGCAAGAACTGAGCATTTAGCTTAGATCCCAGTTTGTATAGCAATATTTCTACCCCATTGAGATCTGTATATTTTGCTTCTCTCTCAACTTTCCCTTTTACCCTCTTTTTGTTTAAAATAAAAATACATCTTTTTCACCCCTTCATTTCATTAAATCTAAAATATGACAAAGAATTGCTCACTTGAGACCATTTCCATCGTCAAAGAAAAAATACTTTGTTTTCATATCTTTCAACAGCAGCTTCGGATTATCACCTCTCAAAACAATCTTGTCCCAAAGGACAACTTGATTCAGAGCCTACATTAAAATGAAAATTAATTAGATTAACTCATCAGAAAAAGCATCTTTGTCACTTTAAATTAAAAAGTACTGGTAAGCAAATAGTTTAATTTATACCAATGAACCCAACTTTGAGGGGATTCCTAAAATCGCAAAACATACAAAATGATATCAAGTGGATAGATATAAGGGGTCAAACTTTTCTTGGGCAAAAGAAATATATTTCCCTAAAGGAAATCATCTTTTTGCTAAGGCAACTGTATTATTTAGGGTCCTCAAAGCTTAATATAAGGTTTTAGACCTATAGGTTTTCTAGAATGAGACCCTTGGAGAAACAAAAAGGACTAGAATCCCTACAAAGGAAGCATTCTTTTCAATCACTTTTCCCTTAAGATTTCTGAGACTCTCCAACTCAGTATGGACCTTGTATGGGACCAAGGAGTTGTATGGGATTTACCAATTTGAGTACATAATCTTTTTAATTATAGAGTTTATTAGAAGTTTTATAATTAGAAGCTATTAAATCATTAACATCATGCTATTAATACAGATCACTGCTGCCAGATTATGTCATAACAATTTATGTGTCTCCAAGATTTTTAACTTACTAAGGAATCACTAAATGAAGACTTTTAAATATTTTTTTTACATTAAAACAAAACATAGGCACGTCACTGTTTTATTGTGACAAAATTCTAGAAGTCAGACAACTGTTTTAAGCCACTATTTTGACATATCACAAATAAATTGTCTGGGAAATTTGGGGCATGAAATTGAGAGAAAACACATTTGTGATCACTACTAAATCCCAAGGACTGTGTTCTGAGTAAGCCATCATTCATGAGCTTGTGAGGTCAATTGCTCAGTATGTGGTGACCGCATTAACTAAAAAGAAATATGAAACAGTTATTTCTAAAAGAGGGTTCACATCATCACCATAAAGCCTGCTTCTAACATTAAACAGAAACATCATGACAGAGGAACACAGAATCAAAGACAAGCCAAAGTAAAATGATTTTTTATGTATGTTTATTCATTCAGATTATATTACTTACTAGTCATACTGGGGTAAACAAGAATTATGAATATAATTTAGATATATCTGTCACCAAGAAGGTAACAAATGTTATTTGAACGATTTGTTGTGATCTGTAGAAGAATATAAGTGTTTACAGCTTATCCCCACAATAGCTTTTTCTAACTGTTTGTTAACACTTTGTTGATTCTCAAGGGCAGGGCACAAAACTTATTCATTTCAACCCAATATTCCCAGGGCCTAACAAAATATCTAGCATAAAAGATATGCTCAAAATAAATGTACTGTACGATGAACTGACGTGCTAAAAATTCCAGTGAACTAAAAAAACAATCAACAGAAAAAGATGATTAATCTGTTTCCCTTGAAAATGAATGTAGTTAAAATAAAATATTCATTTCTAACCACAAATCTCCTCTTTATTTGCAACAAAAGCTCTAAATCAGACTGTATTAATAAATTTCTATCACAAACTGTGTTTTAATACATTTTTATCTAATAGCTTAATAGCTAATTATAAAACTTCTAATAAACTCTAATTTATGGTTAAAAAGACTACTAAAACTGGTAAATCCCATACAATTCCAAAACAAAATATTTTTCGATAGATTAATTGTGTATGTATGACTTAATAAGACTACCAAAACAGCTCATGTGTAGACACACACATGGTGTGTGTGTGTGTGTATATATATATATATACACACACACAAACACATAGTATATACATTCATACACATACACACACATATATATATAAATATTTGAATTTTTTAAATGATCTCAGAGATGATTCAAAAGTTAGTTATCTTTACAGCTTTTGATAATATATGAGTAACTAGAAGTATAAGCACAGCTCACAAATTCTGTCGATTCAAATGTTTTGCTCTCTCTCTCTAATTATGGCTGTGGAGAGAGAATATTTTAGCTTAACGAGTACTACACCTGGGCAGCAATGCTACCACCCCATCTCCCAGTACACTCGAGTTCAACAACATCCTTTCTGATGTTACCATTGGAAGTGGTCTCCAACGGTTTTGACCACAAATTATGTTGAATACAAACCATAAAAATATGTACCTTTGTTTAAAAATTACATAATACACATTACTATTATTCGATAATATCAATAGTGGATGTAAATGTGCATTTCAGTCTTCTTGACTAAGATTGAATTTTCTCAGCCAATTTTTTATTAGATCTATCTAGGTTCTCTCTTTTCTTTCAATCCTTTAAGGTGGCTGAGCAGCTCAAAAGAGGACCAGACATATCAGCTCTGCCACTTTCCTACTGCTTACATGTGCCTGATCATTGGCATTATCTTCAACTGGCAATTTCTTTGCAGGAATCTTTTTAAGCCATTTTCCATCTTGTGAAGATTAGTTTATTTAAAACTAGAAAATATAACCCATTTAATTGGGTCTACACTGCAAAACTTTGCAAAATGCTGAATGTGAATGAATAAATAAATGCATACATATAGCATGGTCAATCTCCTGTCCTAGAATTCCTCCTCTTCCTCCAGAGTATCTGCATGTTTTAGGAAGCATGTGACCACTGACTTAGAGACTGAGTATTAATGTCAGTCCATATAGCCAGTATTAGTGAAGTTTAACTTTTCTCTTTTTATTTTAAATTGAGAAATACACAAATAGACTTGTGCTTTCCAGTATGGCATGTAAAGAACTTAGATGTCGCCACTCTGTCCTAACCTCAAGTAAAAAACTGAACAAACTGACTGCAACTCTTCATAGATCCATAAGAGAAGAAATAATAGCTCTTGTTTTTCTCATATATCTATAAATTACCTTGCATGCACCCCATCCTGGAGACAATACTACAGAAACAGACAAAAAAAAAAGACAGAGGCTATCAAAGGAGATGATTTTTAGTAGAGTCACCTCTCCATAGGCTTGTGACTTTTACTACTACTCAGGTTAGATCATCTGAATACATAAAATTTCTATTTTTTCATAAAGAATAGGTTTTATGGATCTACTAAAATACTTCCATATATACTTACATTATTTTTTGTTGAATATTCTGCTGATAAATAAAGAAACAACTGCTTAACATTCCAATCAAATATATTCTCTAGATGTAAGCAAATTAAGGAATATATAAATCATAAAGCAGCATACTTTAAACAGATCTTTTTCTTATTTACAGCAATACTTATACTAAAAAAGAAAAATAAGAGAGGTAGCCCAGAAACATACAGAGCCACTAGTTTAATAAAAATATATAGAAGATAAATATATTGTAAAATACAGCTCATTCCTAAGTAAAAAAATATCAGTAAGGTTATCAGTACCGTTCCCTAATCCTCTAAGTACTCCTAGCTAAGATACTTTAATTAATAAGAACAAAGAAATAAAAAATTCGGTTGTTTGTAACATCAACTCATTAAGTCTAAAAGTCTAAAAGAAACAGCATTTAATAATTCAAGCACATGATGCCACTGGAGTTCTAAAGTATAACCAGTTCTCACAATTTAAATGTCATGATATACAAATGTGAAATAGGCTCTGCATTAAACCAGGTATAATAAAATGTTGCTTTGGACATACACCAATACAGATCAAAATATCTCAATTCATGAAGTACTTTGGTAGGATATACAGCTAAACGCCAATCTGGTTTCATTAAGTTTACCAGAGTGAAAAATAAATTACCAGGATTAATTATAAGACTAGCGTCACTGAGAAATTATGAGTTAATGTTTAGATTTTACTAAGCATTACATGTAAATGGTTAAGTCATTTTATTATGTGTTTACATACTAATAGTAACATGTTCAAGATATTCCCCTTTTAGATGTGTATCCACTAAGAATCACTACTTTAGAATGGAGAAGTCTAGAATAGTGCTTTATAAGAACAGGTACAATTTCAAGTTTTAGCAGCAACATTAAGAAAATCTGACTAAACTACAAATGATGAGACTGAGCATATATAAATACAGTAATTGAGACACCAGAAAATTTCACTAATTGTCCAGATACACAAAGTTATTACTTTCGCATTAGATCCAAACTACCTCTTACTAGTTTTTTTTAATGATATGGACATAAATTTCGACAAAGTTTAGCATAGGACTTTTCTGATGGTGGACTGTTTCCTAAAAAAGTGCCTATAGAACTAATTCCTGGTTCACTTCTAAATGCAATTAATTTATTTCTAAAGAAATCAAGTTAAAATTCCATGATAGTAAAGAGAATCAGGTAAACTCCCCAGATACATGATCTGCTTCGACTGCTCAGTTACTTTACCTAAGTTCAGACAGTTCAATCTCCATAATCAATTTTAATCTTGAGGTTTTAAAAAAGACAGGTCTGGCTAGAAGTGGCAGAGAACAGTGCTGCCAACATATTAATCTAAGACCCTAAAAGAAGAACAAACTGGCCAAAATGATGAATCATCGAAAGGTGGAAACTCAAGATAAAGTATTTAAATTATAGTCATTTTAAGGTAATTACTTTAACTGTTAATATTTCTCTATTATAAAAGTACTTATAAAAAGAACTATAATGGAAAAATGCTAATATAGCTTACTAATAATCATTTTGATAATGACTTTCAAACCGTAACATATACTATTCACTGTTTTAACATGTTTCTGTCAGCTATCATAAAATATGAACATATTTTGGGGGACTATACATAAAATACTCTATCAAGGTAGGCTGAGAACTGGTTAACATTCTTCCTTCTTTAATCCAAAGGTTCTTTCTTTCCGAAATATAAATTCAAACTATCTCGAACCTTTCAATCTATTTAACGTTTCTGTGAAATTTCAATCTATTTAATGTCACACAGTAACTCGTGAATCTATAAGTTTTCTCCAAGTATGAACGAGGAGGTATTAACACTATTTTACTAATGAAAACAAAGGTCTAGAAATTTCCAAGGTGTGAGTGATAGTCATACTGTCCACAAAATCAATAATCAACATGTATATCATGAAACTACAGAAAAAGCAATGAAATAATTTCTTAAAGGATATCTGCAGTTATATCAAATGTAATGAATCCCAGATCACTCCTTTCTCTAGGTCCAGTGAAGTCTTCTACATTTTTTCTAGAAGTAAAGATAAAATTTTTACCATACTGCAAACATAACAGCATACAAAATTTATATAATTCCTTAGGTGAAGTGAAAGACAGGATCTAGTTGTTTGCACAGGTGAAACAGCAATCCCACACAAAAACAAGGAGAAATCAGAGAAACCTGTAAGAAAATAGGATAAACATTCTAATTTAATATAAAAGTAGGTCTTTAGCTACTTTCATGTATCTCAAAAGAATCGCTAACGAAACCTACGGGGAGATTAAAAACTAAATACTTGATGTCAACCTATTTAGGAAGACAGGTAGAAGAAAGTTACAGATGACTACAAGGTGGTGCGGAAAACTAAGATAAAATGATAACTGCTATTTACTGAGTGCTTACTATGTATATGTGTCAGGTTCACTACATATTTTTCACAATTATCTCAAACAATTTTCACAAAAAATCTAGAAGTAGTATTTCTATTTTAGACAAAAGTAAATTAAGGCCCACAATGGTAAGAAACTTAAAATTGACAAAAACAGCTGTTTGGTGTTTACATGTCCCAGCTCTGCTAAACTCTCACAGAGTCGATAGGGGCAGTGCTCGTTTCCACTCTGGATCTGATTTTTAATCTAAGAGTCCATAACATCGACATGGCAAAAAAGGGGGAGAGGGGGCTGGGGGGCAGTAGCTATTAGGTGATCGTCCTGTTGAGATTCTGACAACAAAGAAAACTAAGGTTGAAGAAAGAGAAAGAACTTGTTGGAAGATGAAATAAAGGAGAACCAGAAAAAAATGCAACGTATCAAAAAAAAAAAGTGCTAAGGAATAAAAATTATCCAAGAAAAAAAAAGTAGACAACAGTGAAATGACAATGTCATTCTGAAATTCTATTTTTGGCCCGTATGCAGATTTATTCAAGCGGTTGGCTCTTGAAAAATAACCACCACGCCGTATTAGAGAGCTAAGAGGCGGAATTCTCTCAATGCATCCTAACCGCTCTGCCAACTTCAAAGCAGCTGCAAGTATTTGCTGCCTAGTGAAAGAGGAAAGACAGAAACTGTAAAGGAAATGTCAAACAGGGCAAACTCTGGTTCTCAACGGCCCAGCAGAGCGGCTGAGAAAACCGGCGGCACCTCGGCCTGGAAGGCGGCTGCCGGGGGTGTCGCGCGGCCCGGGGCGCGGACGCGGGGTCCCAGGCCGGCTGGGCGGCGGCGCGGGCGTGCTGTTGTGTTGCTCCCTCATTGGCCGGGCGTGGGCGGAGGGAAGTGAGGAACAGGAAGGAAGCAGAGGCACTGACCTGAGGAACACTCAAAATTAAAATTTAAGAGCGAGCCCGGGAATTTGCAGCGGAGCTGTAGGAGTTCGAGGGGAAGCCGGGAAAGCCCACGCGGTGCACCCGGACGTCTGCCCCGGCGGAGGGAGGTCGCCC